CAGGGACAAAACTGATTACAGACCCAGAGTCGTCCTTCATAGTGCCTCCTGCGTGTCTAGATTATGCACGGATAGCAAAGAGACAAAACTGATTGCAGACCAGAGTCGTCCTTCACAATGCCTCCTGCATGTCAACAGTATACACGGGTAGCAGAGGGACAAAACTGATTGCAGAGCCAGAGCCATCCTTTACAGTGCCTCCTGCGTGTCTAGAGTATACACGGATAGCAGAGAGATAAGACTGATTGCAGACACAGAGCTGTCCTTCACAGTGCCTCCTGCGTGTCTAGAGTATACACGGGTAGCAGAGGGACAAAACTGATTGCAAAACCATGCAAAACCAGAGCCGTCCTTCACAGGGCCTCCTCCGTGTCTAGAGTATCCACGGGTAGCAGAGGGACAAAACTGATTGCAGATCCAAAGCGCTCCTTCACAGTGCGGTAAGCATGTAACTGTTGTGTGAAAAATACCTGTGTTTATATAGGCAGAAGAACCATTTCGTGCAAACGAGCTGTGATGACCTAGACGGGACATTCATTTTCTAAGGTATGGCCATGCTAGTTAAACCCTGAAATAAATTGGTTTATCAAGTATAGGACTTGAACCCAGTTTCTGAACCTTCTTTCCCACCACAACTCCTTAGGCAACAGCATTAGCATCAGCAACAAAAAAGCGAAAAATGACAGAATTTCAGAGCCAACAACGCATAGGATCAAGCAGCTCAAAACTAGCAGAACCAAAGCCACCACCAAACAGGAGGCGAAAGCCATCCCATCTCATGTAAAAAGGGAAGTTTTTACATTTGAAGAACATTGTAAGGCAAGCAAGGCAAAATGTGACGTATCAGTAATTCAGTCAGAACATGGGTCATTAGATAAGTGCCAAGTATAGGAATTGAAAGGTTCGATCACAATGAACCTGTAATAAACCTTGGAATGGCATAGTCATGCAGTTTCTGAAACTTTTTCGAACCACAACTCCGTAGGCAACAGCATCAGCATGAAGATAGAGAAAAGAGAATCGACAGAATTTCACAGGCAACAACGCGGAAGATCGAGCAGCCAACTATAAGCAGAACCAAGCCACCGGATACCGGTGGCAAAAGCCATGCCATCTCATGTAAAAAGAAAGCTTTTACATTTGAACAATCCTCTTCTGAACAGCAGCAGTACATGGCAAACCCGGCCAAGCATATGCATGTGCTAGAGAAGGGCCTGCCACCGCTGTGGCTTTGACCACTACAAGCACAGCTGCTTGCCCATTCTTTGCCTTGCTTACTTGCCTTATACCCATCCATATTTACATCCCACTAACAAGTATAACAAACGACAGCGTGTTTGAGGCAAGGGGGGTGCTGCCTTGTGCTTCACCACCCGCCCGGCCGGCTGTAGTAAACCGGAAAAGAAGAAAACCGAGAGGCGCCTTGTCCTCTATCTTGGAAAATCTCTATTTTGAATCGTCTGGTTAGCCGCGGGTTCTCTTCTGTCATAGTAGGCTCCAAAGCAGGGTATATATGAGGGGTACCAGGACCCATTGACAGGAGAGCCTCCGGCTAACATTAGCTGCATAGTGTAGGTCAATGGGACAAGATAGTTAGTGAAAGCGAGGACATGATTCTTCAGAGAGAAAAAATGCTACACGAGGTAGGCATGCAAAAAGCGAAAGACTGCTTGATCGACCGGAAAATATACTCTAGGCTAGGTGGGAGAGTGGCATCTTAACGGAATTATCAATAGCTGGATACAAATACCCATCCATAGCTATCCAAGAAAAATACCCATTAATAAACTACTCCCTCCGTCTGGAATTACGTGACGCTGAAATGAATGTATCTAGACGTATTTGGTCTAGATACATCCATTTAAGCGTCAAGTAATTCCGGACGGAGGTAATACTGAAGAAACGAACCATAAATGGCATCTTTGCTGTAGGTAATACTGATGTAAAGCCATAATCCAGAAATGAATTGTTCAATTTGACTGTTATCTTTGCTGTAGGTTATCATGAAACAGTTGAAATCATCTCAACAAACATCTTGGAACTCAAATTACCTGACAGAGGTATAAATACTGACAAGGTACCAATTGACAGAGCTATAAATAAATGAATGCGCAGGAAATAAATCAACAGAAAGAAAGCCTTGGAAAAAAATTGATCCAACTTATCAGTTGGGCACTAAGATCAATATTGATAAGGTACAAACCAAATGAAGTGGGTTTATTGTATTATCCACAGGAGCAGAAAATATGACTAGAACAACTAAAACTTGGATGAAGCGTCAAAATCCTCCTCCGAGTATGTATGGGCCAAATAGTTACCCCTTTGGACAATGTATTACTTCCTTTGCATGTATTACAATGAGTCTTTTGGAAATAACAATCACTGACAATTGTGGGAGAATAAAAAGGGGAAAAGAACTCACATGAATGCGGTGCAGGGGCCAAAGACATTCCAGCAGAAGGACCGGCTCCTGTTGCACGCTCACTTGGAGGGTGTGCATGACTAAAAGAAACAGTGGGCAAAGGCGGCTCGGGAAGAACTGGAGGGGACGGAACGGGAGATCTACTGTGCATATTAGGATCACGTGGAGGATGATGAACAGAAGAAGGTGATAATGGATGAGGTGGTGAAGCAGCAGGATGAGTAGAACGGTGATCATTGGCTACTGGCTCGGCAGCTGGCGTCACAGGAACCCTGTTCTTTGCCTTGTATGGACACCCAGATGGAGGTGGAGCAACATATCTGGGTGTATGTATCGGGATAGGAGCAGGAGCCAAATGCCTGTTGCTTTCATGACCATGGTGATGGTGATGATGGCCGTGATGACCATGATGTTGCATTGGTGCTTGACTAGGTGCATCAGAACTGCCCCTGCTATGTAAAGAACGATTAAGATAGGAGGAAAGGCTTATCTGCTTTACTCTGCCAAATACGGTGTGGTTCAGACCAAGGTTCCCTTTAGATGAATTAGTAATTGTTTGGGCCAACTGCTTCATCCTTGGTACAGATGGCTGGTGATTCCCAACAACACGAACAATGTAGGTCTCAACAATAGTTGGAGGAAGAATTGTTGATCCTTGCAAATTTCCCAATTTGAAATAAAGATTCTGCAATGCACAATATCACAATCAATTAAGGAAGAAAAGGCAGGGCAATGTAAGCTACCGCACACCAACTTTTTGCACAATAAAATTTCTGATATATATTGAAGTCCCAGGCTCCCAGCCCTATTTTTTTCCAGATTGTGTCTAGTAGAGTGGGACAAAAGAATGGAAGAAATGCATTCGAAGATTAGAGAACGAGATAGCTTGTGTTAAGATCAGAAACATAGACTTGCTAGCAAGTGTTTTTTAGAACACTATATGGTACAAAACTAAGCATAACAACCAGTTTTCAATCCACGTGATGCTTGCTAAATACATGGAATGATAATTATAACACACAACCCTATAAGTTCTACTGCATGAAAGCACTCTCATACTCATAGGGCTGCATTTGCACGCATGCCCTGCAAAGTAATATGTGCAAAAGACACCGATGTCTTACAGAAATCAAAAACAGAATGCAAGATATCACACATCTAAAAGTTTGCATGTGTGGACTGTATTACATACAGTTGTAAATGCAAGAACTACATAAAGAAACAAACAAATACCCAAATCCTTCAGACATATAAATAAATCGATGATTGTGATGGACAAAGAAGGAACAGGTCAACAGGACCAGAATGAATCACTAACCTCATTAGAATTGAGTAGTAGCCCTTTCTTCATTTGATCCTTTAATTCATCAGTTCTGTCTTGCACTTTGTAGATTGGGAAATTCAGAGTAAAATTAAAAGTTGCATGGAGTGTTTCAGGAGGAAAGGCGTGCTGCGGAGGAATTATTGTTATTCCTCCAGGGAATTTAAGCACTTCAAAGGATGATGAATTCCCAAACAGGGACTTGGTCAAGTGGAGTGTTGACTGCCGCACAACCAAGGACATAAAAGATGACCTAATAATGCTCAACCCCATTGATGATATAGTCAAGTTCTTTGGATAAGGCACAATGCTGAAGATGACATTTGTCCAGTTCGATCCAGCTAATGGGTGTAGTAAATCCACAGCCACCTGTGTTTGCATTCAAGCATCAGTCAACACTTGTGGTAGAACGTATCAATAAAGTGAAATAAAAGATGTGGTGGGGCATACAATGGAGTTAGGGACGCCGACTTCCGCATAGATGTCCAATACGAGCTTGGACATGTTTCCCCTGAGCTCGGAAACATTCTTCTGCAGCCTAAAACTTGCCACTATATCATCTGGAAAAGAAACAGTTTCATTAGACACATGATATATTCATACATCAATACATCTAGTACTCTTACCCAATAAAACAAAGAACAGTGATCACCGCATGTGCTTAAACTAAACTGGAACCATGATCGCACCTAAATTGGCAAGGATTCATTGGAGGTCAAAGTTCTTGCTTTAGACCACTGGAAAGGATTCACCTAAAATTCATGGACAGTCATATATTGTTTGGGATTATGTCACACCTAAAATTGATGAACAGTAATCAATTACTGCTCAATTCTTCATCACAACTGTTGCAATAACACGGAACAGGAGGTGACAGCAACTCCATCACTTTAGCAGCTCAAGTAGCTTTCACCACCGATAATTCTACAGCCAGATGAAAAATTAACTATGCCGACTAACAAGGGTACAAAGATGATGCCGGACTACCACGCAAAATCAAAACCAAATACTACATCACTGGCATCGAACCGAACCGGTCAAAGCTTTTGGGGACGCCGGGACGGCAGCCATCCATACTGACTGTAGCAAATTCAGTGTGGACGTTTCTCAGCCTACTCAATTTCCAAATTCCAAAAGCAGCACCGACAGATGCCTAAGCAGCGCGGATCAAGCAACGAGCCGTATGCGACTAAAATTAGCAGGTGAGAAGACTAACAAGTCACGCCAGCAGACCGCTTTCCCCGCAGCCGACGGATTCGAAAACTCCACCGACAGCGGCCGCGGGCAAGGTCCGTACAGCCAGATCCAGAGCCGCGCGGGGCGGTACGGACCAGGCCCGGACCGGTGGCAGCGGAAACCGAGGCGAGATCTGGCAATGCCGGTGGATCCGGAGGGGAGATCCCGCACTGACTGACCTGTGATGGCGAAGGGATCCGTCGCGGCGGGCGGGCCCCTCCCGGCGCGGCCCGCGAAGGGCGGCAGCCAGAAGAGCGCGGACAGCAGCACGGCCGCGCCCAGCACGAGCGCCGCCACGCATTGCAGGCGCACCGCCCCTCCGTACCCGCATCGCCTGCTACCTTCGGCGCCGCCTCCGCCGGCGCCCCCGTCGGGCGGGCGCTGGCGCTGGTCCCCGGCCTCCTTCCCCATGCGCCCGGGCCGCGATCTCACGCATCCCCGCCGGCCGCCGCCGCCGCCGGCCTCGCCGAGGAGAGGAGGGACATTGCCTGCCTGCCGGGTGCCTCAGTGGGTGGGCTGCTGCTAGGTGGTGGTGGCGGTCCGGGTCCCCTGCTCCGCGGCCGCCGTCGGTGGCTTGCTTAAGGAGGAGGCGATGCGGTGCGGTGGGCGAGGAAGGTGGGAGAAAGTGAGAGGTAAACCGCAGCGAGGCGAGGTGAATCGGATCGGAGGGGAGAGCACGGGCCGCGCTGCTGGTGGGACGGGACGGGGGAGGGGAGCGGCGGTTGGGGAGGGGGGCGAGCGACTTTACTCGCGTCGCTGGTGGACGAGCGAACCTCCAGCTGGTACAGTAGGAGTAGCACTGCTCGGTTAGCTTAGTGTGGGGGCTTTGAGCCGGCGTGAGTGCGGGCTAATTTGTGTTTTGCTCGCGCTTTTGGTGCTTTTCTTCCGTGGTGGTTTTTGCCCCCCAGAGTAGGTCTGCTTTTCTTTCTTTTTTGAGGGTAAAAGTACGTTTTGTTTCTTCTGCGTTTCCTTTCCGCTACAAGTAAATGACCCGGAGGAGTTTGCCGCTTATAAGGGCCGATCTTGCCTACACCAAGGAAGGTTGATAAGTGCATTAGCTATCCATCCATTAATTTTGTGACCAAGTCTTGGAGCCTACTTCGCACTCGAGACTTTACTCGCTGGTGGACGAGTGGACGGTACTACTCTCTAGTGTGATGTTGCTTACCTTAGTGTGGCCCAACTAGTGGGCAAATGGGTGATCGGACCGGATTATCATTTGCTTTGTGTGGGCATTAGTGCGGGCTAATTGTTTGCTCTTTTGGTGTTTTTCTTCTGCGGTGGGTTTGCCCCCTAGGTTTTTGGTTGATCTTGTTTTGTTTCTTCTGCCTGATATGGATTTTTGGTTGCGGATGATTTGAAAATTTGAATTCCGGACGGGGCAAAGGTTAGGGTAGACTATGAAGGAGGATCTCGTGTGGTCGCTGGATTTGTGGTCACTTAGAGTTGTGAGGGGGTGGATGAGATGTTAGGTGGTGTGTGAATGTCGACTTAGCATGCATGCCACTGTTCTTACATTCCATGGTAGCACTACAATATTTGGACCAAGAAGCAGTGCGCCTTTGGTCTGGCCTGCGAAAAACTTCTTGATTTGTTGTAGGTTTTTTCTTAACGTGACACAAATCACAGAATGTAGAAATCGGGTGGAGGAGCAGCGAAGGAGGAGGATTAGGGTTTGGACGGTTTACCGTTGGTGGAAAAAGTATCGACAATGGGCAGAGGGAAGAAGGCGTAGTTCTAAAAAAGAACCAAGATCCAATATAAAGGTTCATCGGAAGTGCAATACGTTTTTACAAAGTGATATTCATCTCAACCCCTTTTCAATATCCGCACGTATCCAGGGGTGTGGCCTGCCCTCGGTGGTCTGAACTCTTTAAGGATGCACATATCCACATTTGCTCCTCCAGGTCTGACCACCTACCACTCTTGTTAACATTCAGTGAACGCATGGAATACAGGAAAAAGAACGGCAACTTTCGGTATGAAGCCATGTGGGAGAGGGAAAATTCCTTGTTTGAGATGGTGGACAGCACATGGAGCAGGTCTGCAACTGCTAGTTCACTGGAGGAAATGAAAGAGAAGTTGGGCTCGATACAACAAGCGCTGCAAAGTTGGGCTAAGAAAGAATTTGGATCCATTGTTAAGAAAACAATGCAGTTGCGCAAGAAACTCGAGAGCCTATGGGAAGGACCTCCCACAGCTGGTAGGCAGTACGAAATAAACAGAGTAGCGAGGGAACTTGATGAAGTTTTGCTGAGAGAGGAAATTATGTGGAGACAAAGATCTAGAACAACCTAGCTGAAAGAGCGCGATAAAAACACTAAATATTTTCAGCGGAAGGCAACCTGGAGAAGGAAAAAGAATACCATTACAAGGTTGAAAGATGGTAATGGCCAGTGGGTTGAAGATAAGGATGGGATCCAGCAGATGACCACACGCTTTTTCAAGGACCTGTATACTAAAGATGATAAGGTGGCACCACAGGAATTAATCAACATGATGCAAGCGAGAGTTAATGAGGATATGAATAACATGCTGACAAAGGATTTCACAGAAAAGGAAATCAGTGACGCCTTATTTCAAATCGGCCCATTGAAAGCACCAGGGCCCGATGGGTTTCCAGCCCGCTTCTATCAGAGGAATTGGGACATTTTAAAAGAAGATGTGGTAGGGGCGGTAAAGAAGTTCTTTGTAGATGGGATCATGCCCGAAGGAATTAACGATACTACTATTGTCCTCATTTCGAAAGGCAACAACTCCGAGAGCTTGAAGGACTTCCGTCCGATCAGTTTATGCAACGTCATATATAAGGTAGTGGCGAAGTGTCTAGTAAACCGACTAAGGCCATTCCTGGATGAAATCATCTCCGAGACGCAGAGTGCGTTTGTCCCTGGGAGATTGCTAACGGACAATGCCTACATTGCGTTTGAATGCTTCCATAAAATTCAGCATAGCAAGAACGCACGAGATACTCATTGTGCGTACAAGCTAGACCTGGTGAAAGCATATGACAGAGTGGACTGGGGTTTCCTTCAAAACACTCTACGCAAATTGGGATTTAATAAAAAATGGACGAACTGGGTGATGAAGTGTGTTTGCTCGGTGAGATATGCTGTCTGGTGCAACGATGAGCTGCTGGAAACTTTTAGTCCGTCGAGAGGGCTGCGTCAAGGAGATCTCCTTAGCCCATATCTATTCCTCTTTGTCGCGGATGGTCTTACTAGTTTCCTGAATAAGGAGATATCCAATGGTAACATCACACCCATTAAGGTGGCAAGAGGGAGCCCAGGTATTTCGAATCTCCTCTTTGCCGATGACAGCCTTTTGTTCTTTAAAGCATCCGCGGAGGAAGCCAATGTCGTTCAGAAAGCACTCGCTTTGTTTCAAAATTGCTCGGCTCAGCTTCTCAGCCCAAGTAAGTGTTCAATACTTTTCAGTGAGCGATGCCCGAACACAACCTAAGAACGGATCAAGGAGACCCTGGGTGTGGTGTCGGCCACGTTTGAGAGCAAGTACTTGGGACTCCCTACTCCAGAGGGGAAAATGAAGGATGATAACTTTCAACCCATTATGGATAGGTTTGGCAAGCGATGCAATGATTGGTCGGAAAGGTATATGTCTCATGAAGCGAAGGAGGCACTTGTGAAATCCGTAGCTCAAGCTTTACCCACCCATGTGATGAGTGTTTTCAAGATGTCTGTAGGCATCTGTGAGAAATATGAGAAGCTTATCAGAAAAGAAAAATTTGAATATGTACTGCAAGGCAATAGCCTCACAGCTCTTTATTGAAAACAACAAAGAACAAAGTCCTATTACAAGTCCATACAAGAAGAGAAAAGAGGAAGACAGAAATACTTACAGAGTTACAACCCAAGCAGGGCAAAGAAAAACACTACCTAAGGAAGGCTAGAGATCCAAGTTAGAAGGCTATCCTTGTATTTACATTTTATCCTATGAGAAAGAAGGGTTATGTCATGGATGAAGTTATGCCTCCATGCTCTGAAAGAAGGTGTCTCATTCCTGAAAACCTTGCCATTCCTCAAGATCCAAATGTTCCAAGCTGCTGTAAAGACCACTTCAGCGAAGAAAGAATGCCCAAAATCCTTCCTAGCCTTTACTGCCATGTTATAAGTTGTCATCCCAGGCTGTGGGTCCCAGATAATCTGCAGGTAATTCCAGACTCTAATGCTAAAATTACAAGAGAAGAACAGATGTGCACGATCTTCATGGATCAGATATGGACATAGGACACAAGTATGATCTTCCACATGCCAATGCCTTCTGAGTAGCATGTCTCTGGTGTTTAAACGATCTCTCAGCAGTAACCAACCAAACATCTTGATTTTCAATGTACATGAAGATTTCCAAATCCATTGGAAAATTGGATCAACAACAATATGCTGATGCTCATACACATAGAAGGATTTGGGTCTGAAACAACCCTTATGAAAAGGCCAAATCCATGCGTCATGAGTTGCAGAGCAAGAATAATCATGAGTCAGCTGTTGAAGACATTCCAGCTCAGCAAAGGCCTGTGTAGAGATTGGCAAATGCAAATTTGACAAAAACTCCTGGGAAAGCGCATCAAACACTGAAAGTTGCTCATCAATAACAAAGGAGAAGAGCCTGGGAAATTTTTCCCTGAGACAGGAACCCTTAAGCTCAGCCATCCATCTGTCAGACCAAAAGAGAATGGACCTGCCATCACCCAACGCTGGAGTAGCCATCTGACAATATTTGTCAACCAATTTAAACACATCACGCCACCAAAAAGATCCACAGAGCGTGGTAGTATGAGGGACAGAGTTGGCATAGTAGGCATTCCAAATAAGGCCAACCCAGGGGATGTCATGATGATTATAGAATTTGTGTAAGAACTTCATCAGCAATGCCTCATTCTGCACACTGAGATTAAGCACACCAAGACCCCCTTTGTTTTTTGGTAAGCATACCAAGTCCCAGGCGGCCAGAGATTGTCTCGGAGTATCAGAGTTTCCTCTCCATAGACATTGTCTCTGAATCCTTTCAATTTGCTTCAAAATTCCAGTTGGGATGACCAGTGTGCACAGGAAGTATATAGGCATTGATGTTAGGACAGAGTGGAGCAACTGCAACCTGCTACCTTGATTCAGAAAACATGAAGTGGCAGACAATCTTCTTTCAATCCTATGCACAAGGGGCATGAGATCTTGGATTGAGGGCCTTGTAGTCCCCATGGGTAGACCCAAGTAAGTAAAAGGCATGGTTCCTATGCTGCAGCCAAGAATTGAGGCCAACCTGTTAGCTTCATCAGATGACAAGTTCATAGGCACCAAAAGGGATTTTGTAAAATTTACAGATAATCCTGTTGTCACAGCAAAGACATCGAGCATGTCTTTAAGAGCAAGCAGTTGGTGATCAATAGCAGGCAA